GAATGTTTCATTTCAATGAATTCTTGGTCATCGGTAGTTTCTGCGATATTCTACTGATAGGTTATATAACTTGCTTATTGAGGTTTCTAATTTTTGTTGGGGTTTTGGGGGAAGATGTAGGGAAAGTGGAAACTGTATAAGCAATTTTAAAATTTAAGAATAGAACAATGAGACCCTATTTCCTCAATATGAATCAGATGAAATTTGGCTTCAACTTGTTTGTAATGTGTTGCTAGTTTTAGGAATTGTTTCAAAGATTTTTGAAAGGAAGGAGGAAAAGGCAGTATTAGGGAGCTGAGAAAGTTTTTTTCAAAAGGCAATTGGAGTAAAGCATTTAAACTTTGTCAACAAAACACTACTTGTGGGGCTTCCCCTGGTGTTGCAGCGGTTGAGCGCTGGGCTGCGAAGCTGTCCGCAGCTTCTCTAGCGCTGGTTCGATCTCCGGCCACCAGCGAGGGTCCCACATGGCGCGACAGACCTCTCTTGCTGAGCCTGCTGCTCCCCTCAGCAGTGTATTTTGTCCATCTGCCTGTTCTGTTCCCTGCTCTGGCTCTGGTGAATTCTCTCACCCTCCTGCACTCTGACTGTACCCAGTGCTTGTATAAATAAATAAATAAATCTTTAAAAAAAAAAAAACAAAAAAAAAAAACACTACTTGTGGAATGCTACAACACTATTCAGGAAACACTATTCAGTTATGGTTCCAGTAAGCTCAGAGAAGCTTTATAATGCCACATTATGAGTGAGGAAGAATAATCCTTTTTTACTGCTCTCTTTAACAGTCCTTTCTAGCATATATGGTAGCAAGCACTGAAGATCTACAATTAATAAACTGGATCACTGGCTCTTCTCTTTGAGAACTTTAAACGAGCATATCCTAGAATTGCTCCATATTACAGCAGCAGTTTCAAGTCATGTCTGCGAATTTTTGGCCTGATAATTAGAATGAGATTAAAGCAGAACTGCCATATTCTAACTTGTCTGCTTTAGGTGTCGTACTGCATTTATTTGCTATCTGGAGTAAGGATTGTTTGAGGAGAGAACCTATTTATGGAATATATGATTTTCTTGATAATAATAGGGTAATACCTAAAAATACAGTTTATATTCCTGGAAATGTAATGATAATAGGCCCCAATCCAATCTCATTAAATAGAAACAAAGGGATGTTTTGGGAATGGGGTGAGCCAACTCTGTTTATACAGGTTTTCACATGACTTTTCTTTTAAAAAGTGCATGGAATGCATCCAAAACAAATAATTTTTTGTTAGATGAGAAGACCAAAAGGGAAATCCTAGAGAAAGGAGGATGGATGATCTTTCTTTAATGTCAAAACTGACATAAACACATACCCCCCCCACCCTTTTGCTCAAGATAATTTTCTCAACAAGACCCAGATTGCTTCAGTCTTTGCCTATCACCCTTTGAAGCACTTTCCTTATTATTAGAAGTGGGGGCAGGGTTTCCTTTGAGGATTTTTACAGCACTGAAGAGTTCCTCCTTTAAATACTTTCACATGATGAGGGAATTCCGCTTTCAAAGTGCTGTCATCACTGTGGCTTCTCTGCCATAAGACAATTTATTCTTGGGTTAAAGTCTTTCTTAGTTTGATTGTCAATAAGGACTTACCTTTCTGATGGATTCTCTTTGCTTTTTCTGAGAAACCTAGAAAACTCAACATTCTCTCTTGTTAACTATTGGTGAAGTTGTCTGAGGGTCTCTTGAAATGTATTCCCTCACATGTGGTCATAGTCTTCAACATGTTTTTTCTTGTCTGTTGCCACTGATTAGGATTGGGTAACATATTACATCTTGAAAATTGCATTTCTTCTGCAGTGCGAAGGGACACTGAATTTTGGAAAATTTTGAGATTTTTTTTTTTAGTACCTCTTCCTATGTTTAAGTAGCATCTTGGTAAACAGCAAACAAAACTATTCAGATGTTAAATTTCCCAGAAACACTGAAATCTTTTGAGATCCTCTACCATTGCATCACTTCATGTCACCTCTTTTGTTCTTGAATTAGTCTTCTGGAAAATTCTATGAATGTTTAATTCATGGAGTCAAAATAGCTCTTTCAAAAGCAGTTCCTTCCCTTCCCCAAAATCTTTAGTAGGCCATACTTTAATTCACTTATTAAGGAAGAATTAGAATTAAGAAATGCCAAATAGAATTGACATCTTTCCTCAATACTATATCCTAAGGGTGAGGGTCTAAGTCTTAGTGTTTCATATAAGTGAATAAAAATTTATCTGTGTCCCAAACTAGATTTTATCATTTACATCACAACTTTTGGGGTTTCCCTTTGAACAATGTAGTCACTAGAAGGTGAGAGAATCAGTATTGTTTAGGGTACGTTCATGGTCTGCTCCCACAGAGAGGCTCCCAAGTGCAGCAGTGTAAAGACTAACTGATCTAGACATGGGAGTGAACTTGTTTCTTAAAACCTGCAACCTCCTTTTTATTAGTGTTCAATTGACTAACCTCTTGGCTTTTTATTGAGGAAAAAAGTGGAACATATGGAAGAAGCCCTGTATTAAAGTTAAAATAGAGTTTTGACTGTCACTTAATTGTTTGTGTAACATGAGCAAGTAATGTACATTTCCACTTTCCTCCCCTCCACAGAAATTCTGTAAAGTGAGTTACCTAATCATATTCATGTTTTTGTCCATCCTAAATAAAATATAAAGCTACTTCACCTATATATGGGAAGGCATAATTATAGCGATTGAGCATTATAACTCCTGTGAAAAATTAGCATTGATATTTCTTAATCTAATCTATAAAAAAAGAAATATGATGATACTCTTTCTCCAGTGAAAGTCTGTGATGTGTCATAATAATTCATTCCGCTTTCTTGTTGAAGGCTAATTGGAAATCAATTTAAAAAATGCTTGTGCTGTGCCTCTGTGCTACACACCATGGTAGACAGTGAAGTGGTCAAGTCAGTGAGCGCAGACTCAGCCTTCAGAGTGCTTACCACCTAGACAGGGAGAAAGTGTGAAAAATAATCACAAACCCAGTGTGTTAAGTGTAAGATGCAGAGGCCAAATGTGGGGGCAGAGGGAGGAATATGCAGATATGTACAGGTGCATACAGTTGACCCTTGAGCAACACAGGTTTGACCTGAAAGGGTCCACATAACCCCAGGTTTTTTTCAGCCCATGAGTTTACATTCTGTCAGTTGCATTTACAGATGTAGAACCTGAATATATGGAAGGCCAATTATAAGTTATATGTGGATTTTTGACAATTGTGCTAGTGTTTGGCACACTCGTGTGTATATGTGTGTGTGTGTGTATGATATCTATCTGAATATCTGCATGTAAGTGTGTTTCTCTAAATCTATACGGAATTCTTGAGATAGGAAAATGAGTGTGGTGATGGGGTGGGGGGCGTAGCTTTATGGTAAATTGAAAATAAAGTCAAAATTCCTAACTCCTTACCAATTTATTACAGTCAAATATGCCCCCCATAAATGTGTTTGCCTTAAACTGCAATCAAATGAGTTATGACATGAGAGGTAAAAGCAACAACAACAACAAAACAGAATGATTTATTTTCATAGAAAAATGACTTGGTTTTTCAGTGTCCTTACGTAGCACCATTAAACCTCTCTTTACTAATAGTTTTCTGTTGTGGAACAGAGAATATTTAAATGTGTCAAGTAAATATTAAACCAAACAATGTATCCTAGAATATGTTCAAATTCTCTTTATAATTTTAGAAAATAGAGAGAAATTGGGTTTTCTTAAGAGTACCCATATGTCTCAGTATCACTTTTGCAGAATGTTACCTTATATCTAGAAGTCTTAGGTCTTCCTAGTGATTTGTAGCAATCTTGAACTCAAAACAAGGAATTGGAAAGTGTTTAAACTCAGGTGTTAAATCTAGCACTGCCTAGGAAAGCTATTCTTCTGCCTGGTGGAAGTGTGGAGCTTGAGTTTTTTACAAAAACCTGGACTGAACTAATTTGTTGTTTGAAACTGGAAATCGTATTGTTGAAGTTTGCATTCTGGTTTTCCTCAGTTAGGTGAATTAACTAAAAGTACCATATTTTTAAGGGACTTCCTTCTTTCTGCAGGAATAAATTTAGCTTCTGAAAGAGAAAAAAAATGCACCAGCAATTCAGCAACATAGCACCTCTTTCATCATTTTGGGATGCAGGCTTCAGCTCAGTAACTCCAGACATACTTTCTGGCAACATGTAAAAACATGCCCAGAAGTACTGAACATAAAACCAGACTGTACACTCATAAACATTTGTACAATCTTATGGCCACTTACCATCAACTTTCTTAAAGCTGTGCACATATTTTTAGAATCATTAGAATAAATGGGAATTGGGGGGAAAGATGCTATTTGAGAGAAGGTGCTACCTGAAGATGCCTGTGGAACACTGCTTGTGACTTTATCCTATGAAGTAAGCAAGCCTCTTGCCCATAAAATAGAAGCTATGCTTTCTAGATAAACACTGTCCCCACCCTCAGCCTGAGAAATTGGATTAAGATGGAAACAACAAAAAATTCAATTTTAAATATTTTAACAGTCAAAATTAAGTACTGAAAGTAAGCTTCCTAAAGAGGCATATAATATTTGAAACGGTAACAGCCTGACTGTGTGGTTTTTGGAAAACATCACATGTTAAGACTCTTAGCACATCAGCGCTATATTCAGTGACTCTGAATATAAGAGATAAGAGAGTGGTAATCGGTAACAGAGAGTCTCCTCAAGCTTAGGGATGTTCTGGAAAAACTACTGGATGGACCAAAATTGTTTCAAGAAACATAAATTCCCAATGCAACTGTAATCTGAATGTGAGGAAAAAGGTTATTCAAAATACGTTATTATCCTTCAACTTTTTGACCTTTTTTTCAGGTTGAAAAAGTTAAGCATGATTCATATAATAAGGATTTCTATTCTGTGTTTAGCATTTCTTTAACTTACATTCTAACTTAAGATTTCTGCTCTCTGCTTTGGTTTTATGCCTACCCTGCCCAGGTTGGCCGTCATTCCACGATGTGATCAGTTCTGATGCCATCACCTTCACAGATGACTTTTCCTATGGAATGCACAGGGTGGAAACAAGCTGCTCTCAGGTTAGCTATCCCACTGGACACTCACTGTCCTACCCACTCTGCCTTGGGGACACTTCTAAGACTCCTGGTTGTGCCAGATAGGGCAAGTAAGGCCAAGTGACTGATCACAAAAGAGACAGAGAAACACTGTGAAGTTTATGTACAGTCTCAGTGATAGCTCAATCCTCAGGTGCTCAGCAAGTCAAGTTAAATGTCAGCCATTGGCTTCAATACTGTTAAACAAAAAACTGGTGGGAAAAATCATCTTCACTTGATTCAATACAGTGGGAAAGAGGCTATTGGAGCATATGAAGGAAGATTTCTTTATATGACTTTAGATAATGTTTACTTAGTCTCTTCCCGCCTACAGTTCTTTGCACCCATTATTTAGTCATAATACTTGTAACTGTAATGATCCAAACATGGAGTTCAAAGATCCTAGAAACAGTTGATCTGTCAACCCAATCCAAAGACTTGAACCTGTGAGTATTTTGTGTTTTAGCCCAGAGACATAGTCAGAACCTCCTTATACAAAGAATAAAAGCAGCTGTACTCTTCTATTCTGCAGTCGGTATTCCTGTTCCATTTTGCTTTAAATAAGTTATACATAAAGTCTGGGTTTTCTGGCACTGAAATTCATTGATACTGAAGAGTATTTTGTTGGGAGATGTCTGTCTGCATGTATCAGAGGTAAAAGGGGCACAATCAGGCAGCTGTAATAGCAAAGTGATTGCCACATGGGCCTCCCTCAGCATTCTTCTTTCTGCCCTTTAACCTCCTTCATCAGGCATAAGAGTTTTAGGGAGTAGGTGGCATATTTACTACCAAGTAGGGAGGGAGATTGGTTTGAACCTGACCATCTGATGAATTTCTGTTTTCATTTTTTTTTCAAATAAGGCTTGCAAGTTTATAGTCTTCCAAATATGAAGACTACTCTCTTCCCTGAAAAATAGACTTCATATTTTATCTACGTCACATTCTCATTTCACTTTAGTTTCTCAGATATGAATCTCTGAGCAAGATAGTGGAACTTTGTGATGCTGGGTTTCACGCCCCCAGAGATCCTACTTTAATGGGTCTGGGTGAGGCTTATACATCCTCAGTTTCAAAACTCCCTTGGTTAATGCTCAAATAGCCTTATGAAGTATAATATGCACTGTAATTCTTTCTTACTTGATAATTGAGGAAACTGAAGTAGAAGGAGGACAGCTAAACTTGTACAAATTTACATAAGTTTAAATGATATAATTGAAAGCTGAATTTAGGCATTTGGCCCCAGAGATCTTTGTGGTGTTCAGACAGACATACAGATAGACATATAGATGGATGCACCTTAAGGAGTCACATTGAAAAATAACTTGTGATTTCTCAGAAGTTACTTAGTCTAATTCAGTTGGATTAAATTTTAAATTTAGTTGAATTTTAGTTGATATTTTTCAAATTGAGATTACCTATCCAGGAATCTGAAATATTTGACAAAGAAGCCACTCTGGGTAGGATGGTACATAGTAATTTGTAACTTAAGTACTTAAGTACTTACTACTTCATAAATCTCTTTGAATGCTAGCAGTTAATTTTTTCTTTCTTTTCTTAAAAAAAAAAGGCCACTGCTTTCCTTTTTTACTCAGGATCCACATTCAAACCTTAGGTCCCATGAAAACCAAATTTAAAAAAAGCACAGAAAACGTAAGGCGTAAGATAATAATGTTCCTTAAGGCCCTGCTCTCTGATATCTTTGCAACTACTTCTTAAAAATCACAGTTGGAATCAACTTCCTCCTTTCTCTGTGCCAGTCAGAGGTAATATCAGTAGCATGGAAGAAAAGACCATTATGAAGGAGTCCTACTGTGACCAAAGAGAAATGAAATCCACAGACTGTGCCAAAATTAGGTGACATTCATAAAAGGTCATCAAGCTTAAAGGCATAGCTCTTGGCCATTTGGTTAAAGACCTAAGTGCCTGTTCCTGTTCTCTGTTGCTTTCCTAACAGTTGGGTGAAGAACTGACACTGATGTATTGTTGTTGGTTTGTTTTTTTGTTTTTTTTGTTTTTTTTTTTTTTTGCTTCTCTTTCCACCACCTTTGCTTCTCCTATTTAGAAGCGTTTGACCATTTCATAAACAAAAGTCTTAAACAGAAAAGAGAAATTCGTTCCAGTAAGATGTGTGTGAAAATACATGTTCTGCTAAGTAAGTTCCATGTAGAAAGAATCAAATTCTAGCCCTAAAGAGTGATAGCTTGCTGGGTTCTCCCCCGTGATGGAGGGTAGGTGCCCACCACACAGCTGCAATCCCAGGTAGCTTACTGCCTCAAGTGTGCTGGGCAGCGCTCATTCCTATTTCTTTGTCTTTTAGTTTGTTTCTTTCACATGTTTATTTTGCTTTTGTTTTACATTTTTCTTTAATTATCTCTTTTCCATTTTCATCCTTTTCATCTTGACTTGAAAAAAAATTAACGATTTAATCATTTCCATACTCAAGTAACCACTTGTTTTGCTTTCTAATTTCTCATTCATAAGACTTTCATTATCAGTTTATCTTCTTTTGCTTTCTATTCCTTAAGTTTCTGTAGTCTCTTCCCCTACTTGCAATGCTTGTCATCTTTCTTCTTTTCCTTTTTATGGTGACAGGAAGTGGGAAACTTCTCTTTCTAAAATTCTTGTATTTTGTATTCACATAGTTTTCCTTTTCTCTGGATGGAATTACATCAATGTAGTTTTTATTATGAAAACTCTATTAAGTACTTTTAGTATCTCATAGATAATCTCAGTTGGACATGTTATTTAGAGTGCAGCCTTCCTTATGGTAAGATGGAGCACTAAACGTGAAGACCCTTTAATCAACAGATTCCATAGCCATCTTGTACAGATGAACTGAGCTTCCATGGACAAAACAGTAGACTCAAGACCTGCTCGCCTGGCAATATGGCAATACTTTTTTGGTCTAATTCTTGCTTTAGTGCTTAGAGTTCTTCCTTTTTTGAGACTGTGTTGTAGATCACACCATGCAGTGAATGAACCTGCCACCTCTTTACATTGTAGTTTTCCCATGTGGCTGTGGCACTCATCTTGGGATGACTGAAGGACTCTATCTTAGCTGTATATATCTATATCTGTATATATAAAAGATTTTATTTATTTATGCATACAAGAACTGGGGTACAGGCAGATAAGCGGGAGGGTGAGAGGATTCACCAGAGACAGAGTGGGGAACAGAACAGGCAGACTGACTGAAATACACTGCTGAAGGAGCAGCAGGTGAGACAGGACATATCTGCTGCGCCATATGGGTATCTCCACAGCCGGCCGGGATCGAACCTGCACTGCAGAGGTTGCGGACAGCTTCATGCACTGCGCTCAACTGCCTGCATTGCCAGGGAGGCCCAGATATTTATATTTTAATAAAATTGAAAATGAAGATTGGTTCAGTATTATTATATTTTTCAGAGAAACATTGTAGTCAGGTCCCTGTAAAAGGATTTCTGTGTAATAAAATAGCTGGCACATGGCCTGATCTTTAAGTTAACAGCACAGAAAAGAGACAAGGGTGGCCCGGACTCTTCACTATCTTCATTATGATTACTGCTTGTGAAGGAAATAGGCTGTCCTGTTACATTCTGGTTTTTACGGCAACCACCTTTGTTATTCCAGTTATCTCTTCCAAAGAGGATCTTAATTTTGCCTACTTTGGTGGATACAGATATCTTCCCTGGCTGTAGCAATTTCATAACAATTTTTAGTTAGTAAAAATTTTCCTTAATTTATTTCTATTTTATTTCCAATTTTTTAACCAGTGATAAGATATATTGCTTATCACTATTCGAGTTTTACTGACAACTGTGAATAATTGCTTGACAGTTTTTTCCTAATCCTCCAACCCCAGTCTGTTAAGCAACGCTTTGTCAGGAGTTTAAATTCAGTGCAAAGAGGAAAGATTTGCATGGTTTAAGCTGTAGTTCAGTGAAGTCAGTTCCTCCTGGAAATACTTGGGGAATTCGTCCTTCTTTAGATCAAAATTTTGCATCTGCAGCAAATGGGAGACCAATAAATCACTTAACTTTTTCAGATAATCTTTAAGGAAACCATCAGATCCCTGAGTTTACTCAAGTTGGAGTTTATTTATGACTGGTGCTGCTAATGCTTGTGTCTGTGGTAGTCCCTTAAGTTAGTTTTAGATCATTATTAATTTGTTCTAAGTTAGCCAAATCAACAGAAAGGTAAATATCCACCAAATACAAAGTGTTTTTCAAATGTTAAGCAGTTTTTGGTAAAACCCCAAACCTTACTGATCTTTTGCAGATGACAACTCATACATTGCTTGATGATTAAAGATACCCATGTGTTACAATAGGGTTTCAGACTCACAGCCCATCTCTCTTTTTCTTGATCTTTCAGTAAAATCATAATGCTAAACTGGTGACTTCACAGTCATTTCCTTGGCAAAAGATTACTATCACAAGCACAGAGGAAAAGAGCCCTACTTATACACAAGTGTCTTCAATAACGGTGGGAGAAAACAGGATACTACTGGCAAAGTAAATTGCTTTTCTTCTTAAAACTCTTTTCTCCTTCCCATCCTGCCCCATGTTCCCAAGTGTACAAGCCCTGCTTTGAACTGCTTCATCTTGTAGATAAACACTTTGGAGAAAGTGACAATAATAAAGCCCAAAACATCCTAGGAATAGCTGGGAGAAAACCTTCTAAGACAGTTGAAAATACATCAGTGCAGAAATATGTAACTGTGTTGAATGAACTGTTTGTGTTTCTTATGTACAGGATTGAGAGTTGCAGTCAGATTTTAAGGAATTATGTTAAATTAGCTGCTCAATCACTTTTTTTGTCCTTTCCCTTGGTTCTCTGCAGGTTCTTTAGTTGCCAAGTTTTCTGAGTGGGACACTTAGATGATAAAAAAATTCTGTGGGAATTAAAAATATTTTCTTTTGAATAATTATCTCTTGCTTCCTTAGAATGAGAGCTCATACATTCAGTCATAGTTTGTATTTTATAGGCAAAATAAAGAAATATGTAGCCATTTTAAGCAACTTTCAATACGCACACAAGGATTCTACCCTGAAATAAATTACTTATAGCAGGTTTCAGAGATTTCTTCATTGGACAACCAGTTTGTTTCAGTTACAACCAGGTGTGCAGAGCAATCCTAACACATTGCCAGTTGGCAGGAGCTAGGGAGGCAGAGCTCGCAGGCGGCTAAAGAAACAATGCATCACTGACAACATCCATTCATCATCCTAGTCTTCCACCAGGGGTAAAAGCTGGAAAGAATGGGCTCCATGTGCGTTCCCCACAGGGAGGAGCCTTCAGGGCTTGTGCACTTTTGAAAGAAACAGGGTAACAGGTTTTTATGGGAGACTGGCCATATCTGGTGGGAGCGCAAATGGTGCTGTCAGAATGCTTTCCTCAAACAGCCTTCAGCTTTGCAGGCTGTGGGTGGACACGTATGTAGCCTCACAGATATTAATGAACACCTTGTTGTGTTTCCACATGTTCCTCCTTAGTTGTCTGGTTGAACCTTCCAGAACACATTGTGGCAAGCATGATGAAGCCATCACTCTCCATGTTAGGGGACTCACACCTTCTCTGAGGGTTTCCCTATTCCATTCCAGCCTACATAGTGGTTTGCAAATAGTTTTTGTTGACTTTTTCTAACTATAATTGCTCTTCCTTACACTCCCCCCTTTTCTCTTGACTGGCTTAGGGACATCTAGAATCAGTATTTCCCTCTCTGTTTAATTTAAATGCTAGTTCCAGATCAGTAAATGCAATTACAGACTATAAACCAACTCAGTTCAACAGATTAAATTACTCAAACTTCGATTTTTACAAAACAATTTGAGAAATGAAGACTATGAAAATACCCCTAAATGACTTCAAGTATATCCTTACTATGGGTTTTTTTTTTTTTTTTGAAATAAGGTAAATAGACCCATTTTCTCAACTCTGCCCAAGCAATGATTAATAAAGGTAATATTTTTCCCAACTTCCCTGTATTCTCTAATTAAAAGAAAAACACAATAAAACCTAGCTGAAGCTTTATGTGAGAACTCCACCACTCAGATGCTAAGCGATCAGACGCTGGTGCTGCATGTTGAGACCAGTCACTGCGCACACACTGGTCACTGAGGGTACCAGTCCCTGCTCACCTGCACACTGTTCTGGCAGGTAGAAATAGGTGCTTTCCTGTTTCCATTGGGTAAGCATGTGTATTTGTACTGGTGCATCTTAGCTGCTGACCTGAAAATTTGGCCTCATTTGTTTATAGAAAGGAAAAGCAGTCTGAGCTGTCAGCCTTGATATTAACTAAACTTGCATAGAATGTGGTAAAATAATGCAAGATTTGTTTTTTAGGCCTGTTTCATATTTTCCAGGCAATAGATCAAATCAGTTCAGGGTTCATTTTCAGTGCTTTAATAAGCTGACACAATATATTGGCAGTAAAATAAGAATGTATTTTTAACATGGAAGTGCCATATAGTCAGAGTTGCTATTTGTGCTATTTATTAATGACTAGAAACCCCTCAAGAGTTGACCTTAGCACTTTCACTGGGGAAACTGAGATTCTGGTTCTGCCGTTGTAATGAGCACCCCTCCCTTGCATCTCTCATCATTTCCATTTGGTATCTCAGTCCCATTCCCTTGTCAATTGTAACTTTCCCTGCAGTTTATAAGTCCTTTTATAATCAAACCAGCACAGTGAGAAGAATTAAAATAACTTTTATCTTGTGTTCTTCCCTACATCTCCATTCTCTCATTGCTTGTAATGTTCCCCTATATCTCCACTCCTTTACTTCCCTCGGGCTTTTATTCTAGCCACCTCAGGATGCCTGCTTGACCACTGTACCCAGAACATCAGCCCCTGACCTTAATGCTCATGTCATTTCCTCTTACTCCTCTCATTAGCATTTATTTCTGCATACCACACGCCACAGTTCATTTACCTTCTTGTGTCTCTCCCACCAGAATGTAAGTTCCATGAGGGCCGTGCTTGTTGCCTGTATCTCCAGAATCTGGGATGGCGCCTTGTATAGAGCAGGCCCTCCAAAATATTTGCTAATTGAATAAATGGAAGTCATTTGCCTCAGTCTTTTTCTCTGTTACCAGATGATAATGATATCTTTTCAGTCTGTTTGAATGTGGTGCACTAATGTCTCCATTTCCTCCACCCTGTCCCTGCTGAGAGAGGGTGGGAGTTCGGTAAGTGTGACACATGCTATTGTCTCTGGAGTCGTGCTCATCCTTGGAGCCATGAGGGCCAGGCTTTATTCAGTGAGCCAGCCTGCTTTGGAGACTGTCAATGCTAGATTTCTCTTAAATACCATCACAACCAACTGTCCCTTCTTCTGTCTGTCTGGATTCTGGAGTTGTTCTTCCCCAACTGTGTGGATTGCCAATAGCATGAATTTGAACAGAACAGCTTTTCCTTCTCCACATAATGTAGTTCATACAGGTGAAGAAGCCATCAAGGCACTCCATCTATTGGAAGCCAGAGAAAAATGATTGTGTGAGCTCGAGACATCTCCATTTACCACACTTGCCGGCCTGGTGACCATGACAAAAATCTATTGAGCCTTGCCATTGCTTTTGCTAGGTTCCGAGAACATCCAATGCTTGTCTGATGTTAAGTTTTACTGCCCATGAAAGCAAACATCACCTCCGTCATGGCTAGTTAAGCAGTGTCTTTTACAATGGACTTCTGCATATCTGAAACCCACCCATCCAAAGCCAACAGTAATGCCAGCAGGGAGAGCTTTTGTCTACCGAGTTTCTTACAAGGGGGAGATTAAGGGTCAACTCAATTCATAAAATTACTACAGTCATTTTTCAGCTGGCTGAGAGACTTCACAGATCAAAAAATACAGTGGCTCCTAAATGATTTCTGATATGCACAATTCTAGTGTTTTTTATTCTCAGCATGTGGTACAGTGCCTGCCAGAAACCATCTTTGCCTCTATTGACAGGCGGATTAGAAATCATCCCCGATGGTTTCCATCATTTCTCCACAGATTGGTCATCCATTTAAACTGCTTCATGTGAGTTCTTCTCAGAGCTTACTTTGTATATGTTTTTCCTTACATTTTGCCCTTCTCTTTCAGTGTGGTGCTCACCTTGGGCATATTTTTGATGACGGACCGCGTCCAACTGGGAAAAGATACTGCATCAATTCGGCTTCCCTTTCTTTCACACCTGCAGATAGCAGTGGTGCCGAAGGAGGCAGTGGAGTGGGCAGTCCAGCCCAGACAGACAAGATGGAGCTGTAGAGTAATGGAACGTGATGCAAATAAGTGTACTTAATGCACAGCTTATTGAAAAAAAATCAAAATGGTCTATCTTAGATATATTTTTTCAAAAGATATAAGGGCAGTTTTGTGCTATTGATATTTTTTCTTCTTTTGCTTAAACAGAGGCCCTGGCTGCCAATGTATTTTGCTACTGTCTAGATCCTGAAATGTTTCTAACTTTAGTAAATGGAGATAAGCTTTGTGAAACTTCTTTCGCCACTTCTGTACCATTTGGCATTCTCTGAGCACATAGCTTTTTTCCTTTGAGATTTATACCCCCACTTGGTTAAGAGGCAGAAGATGCTTGGTCTTCTAGTGTGAAAACCGAGCTCTCCTATGCAGTACAGAGACCAGACCTGGAGACACATGGAAGGCACTGGTGCAAATCCACCAAAGATAAGGATGGAGTGATGTCTTTAGAGACCTCTCAGCTTTGTGCGAAGTTTGAGCTAAGATCCATTATTCTCACTAAAAAGGTGTGAAGGTCTGAAGTCTTTCCTTATGTTAAATTGTTGCCAGATCTGAGGGGCAAACCAAGTGTTGTTGTAGAGAAGTAAACATTACCTCAAGGCTAAGCCTTTATTTTATTTTATTTTCTATCAAATACATTGGAATATAAGACAATGATAGGATATTTTGTCCAAAGTTCACAAAGCAGAATACCTGCCATTACCTTTTAAGGTCTGTCTGTACACACCTAATACCAGCTGTAGCTCAGAAGGGCATTTTGATGAATAACACTGTGTAAAATAAGATAGTGAGGGGCAATACACTTCATCAGGTAGAAGAAATAAGAGAGAGCAGAGAAGATCAAGGAGGAAGTGCTGGGTACTAACATCTCGCCCAAAGTGGGAACCTTGAGCTGCCAGTGACCTCTACAAAAAAAAGGTTGGGGGTCAAATTAGATTTATCCAGGATCTCAAGTCCCACCCTTGACATTGATCTGCTGTGAGATAAGGGACAAGCCATTTTGACCTCTCCTTACCTATTCTTCATGTTTAATGGGGACTTATATTATTTGTAAAATAATCAACACTCTCAGGACAATATTACTATATTGCTATACAATTAAGATCAACATTGTTGGAATTAAACTGAATTGCTTCTAATTGCCTCAAAGGCTAAAGCTGAGGTATTTGAAATGGAAAGGAGGTCGATTTAGCTGACTGGTAAGGAAAGAGTTGGGCCAAGAGCCAGAAAGTTTCCTTTGTAGCAATTTGGCTGGTTTTTATTTTGAGCAGCTCCATTGTGTTGCTGTCTCACACATGTCCTAGTGGCATGGCTGTCACTGTGCACACTAAGGCATTGGGGTGGTGATGTAAGTTGATAAGGTTTATGATGATATGTATTCTGTTTCTAACTTTGAATGCTGATCCTGAGATGGAGTTTTTAAAAAATACTATTTGTATAACTCTTTGAGAGTTTGTAAAGACTGACATCTTTCCTTATAAGCACCAAGACAAAAATATAAAAGAAGGACACTTGATAATTTTAAAGAAATAATAAGAAATTAAAACAAAAAGTTGTGACCAAGCAAAATGTCAGTGGGTGGTCATGTCTATTCTTTCTGGTAGGAGTCTATTTGTTGTCATGATGCTGTGACTCTGATTCTAGATAAGTTACACTCTTTCTCCATTCCCAGACTCTTTCACCCCAGAGGCCCTGGGGGCACTCTGCATTTCACAGGTTTCATTTGCTTCTGAAATAAGATGCAATATTGAAATCATGGAAGCCTCAGAATCCAGACCATCCCAGAATTCTTTCCTGACCTCACCTAGGGAGCCCCAACTTTTGCTAGCCCCTCAGGGATCCCATGTGGGATAAACTAAAGAAGTGGGTCTCCAATACTTTCCCATCGCTCTCTGCGGCTTGTCCTTCGGGACGCACAGCATTTCTCACTGGGCATAAGTTCTGTACAGTATTGGTTGGCTTCAGGGTTCATGGATTCCCTCAAAAACCCACCTTTTCTAATCCTTAGTCTTTCTTTCAAGGAAAGCCAGTTTTTTTCTACTGTGCTTTCCAGCATCAACTTTAAGAAAAAAGCAATATCCACTGGAAAAAAAAGTGGAGTGTATGCATGTGGTTTAATTCCAGATTGCTTTTGAGTTTAAGTGGGATCAAATTTCAGTATATTTCTGTCTTATGTTAAAGAAATATATTACTAAAACGTCAGTGAGCAATAATGTCAGCTGTCGAGCTCTAGATTTATTCTTGCAGGATATGGAATGCAATGAACTGAGTCAATATGGTGAGGTGTATGTGATCTGTGGGAGTTATGCCATTTAACATAGGAAATGCATGGAACTTTCCCTTTCTGCACTCTGGCCCTTACTACACGTTAGAATATGCAGGTTTCTGCTGGTGTGTAAGAAGTACATCATTACAGTGATGCAGGCTGGATGTGAAGAAAGCAGCAGTATATATTGTGTTAGAGAACATTTTTATATGTTTAAACTTTTCACTTCTTAGATGCATTTAAATGCTTAGTGCAAAAGACATAGAGATTTAAAAGCCTCTTCATGTTAACTGAATTGAAATGCCTTGCTTTTAAATACAGAATATGATGAAAGAGATTACTGTTTGTTCTGAAGTTCAAATATTATTTTTGCCTTAGATAGCTTTGTAATAACTTTTCTTCAAACAATTAAAAACTTTTGGAAAGTGACATGAAATTTTCATGAAAAAAACCTTTTCCTATCTTTATTGTATACAGAAATGATACAATAAAATTTCTTTATAGAAATACTTTCTTCTCTGACTCCTAAAGACTCCTCTTAGTTTGAGCGCCTTTACATGGATCTTCCACTGGAGTTTGCCTCAGACTACTGTTTACCTTCTTGAGCAGCTGACTTGCCTACCTAGAAGGCCTTTTATCCAATGTGTCCTAGGCAAGCTGGGACTCTGACAGTAACGTGGAGTCCAGCTCCCCACACACCTAATCCAGGGAATCTCCTCCAGGCTTCCCAAAGTTGGGAAAGGAAACATGTGCAGAATTCCTCAACCCTCACTTCACTTCAGCAAAATTTCAACAGCCGGTGTATAGTTATACATGTAAAATGTGGACTTTGGGGAATCCCATCATGATAACTCTAAGGGAAAATTTAAGAAGACCCCATGCTGTCGCCTAGGCTTCTGTGGAAGAATTCTAAAGGAAACATACTCTTGCCGAAGGAAGGAGTGCCTCGAGGGAAATGCATTCAGAATTGCTCAGAGATCAATTCACCTTTAAAAGTCACCACTACAGAGCACTTTGGCATAGTATTGTTTGTTCTTGAAATTTTCAACTGTTCTGGTTGGTTTTGTTGATTATTTTGAGGAGGATAAGTGAACCGATGACTACCTTTTTTTTCCAAGTCAATTCTTTAAGTCACATTCCTCGGATCCTAAAATTCACAGGATAGCAATTTCATGTGGTATATCTTGGAACAGTGCTGCTCAACATGTGGTTCCCAGACTGCAGCATCCACATCACTTGGGAACTTGCTACAAATACAAGTTTTCAGGCCCTTTCCCAGACTTACTACTTCAGAAATTCTGGGGTGATGTCTTATGTTTATATTTTATTTATGTTTCAGCAAGCCCCCATGTGATTCTGGTGCTTTGTCAAGTTTCAGAACCTCTGCCTTAGAACTTTGAGAAAGCTTCAATTCACATTCCTTTTGAAAGCATTTCTATATGACACTAAAAAATGACTGTTTTGTCATCACTAGTTGTTTTTCTATACTGATGGATCAGTTTTCCCAAAGCTTCATGCCTTTCAGCTACTGTTGTCTTTGGCTACCCAATGGTCTCATTCTGAAGGACAACCCTGTCTTCACCAACTGGCACCACATTTTTGCCTTTCTGGGTTGTACAGTGGTACTAGCCAAAGCTTCTCTAGAACTGGGGGATGTCCATGGCAGGTCCATCTAGGCAATTCCAAAAACCAGAGGACAGTTCTCGGTGCATACTTTTTCAGAATGACCTCTCCCACTTCTTCCATTTCCTTGTACCTGTACCTCTCATTATCATGATGGTTTTCTTTTTTAAACTCATCAAGAGATTTTTACAAAGCTGCCATGTGCCCAATCATGACTTTTTTGGTCAGAAAACTGCTGCTGTTACTCAGATCTTAACAATGAACTGACTTCTAGAAGATGTTGGCATACAAAAAAGAGTTGCATTAAAGATTGCCCTTGGGAAGGCACACAAACCTGCCATACTGACTTCTTTCTAGATTTTATTGTGCACTGCAAGGCAGCTTTGACCTGACCCCAAAAAAAACCTGTAAGTCTGTCATGTGAATAAGGGGGTTTTTATGGAATCATCGTAGGAGAAGATCATTCTGACCTGAGATTTGGAACCAAATCAGATCCTCAGGCCCACATGAGATTTTCCCAATTTTTAGGTTGATTACAGAACCACACATACTTCTCAGGGTATGGATGCTATGGAATCTCATTCTTTTTTTTTTTTTTTAAAGATTTATTTATTTATGCATTCAAGAGCTGGGGCACAGGCCAGAGATGCGGGGGGTGAGAGGATCCATCAGAGACAGAGTGGGGAACAGAACAGGCAGACTGACTGAAATACACTGCTGAGGGGAGCAGCGGGCAAGACAGGAGAGGTCTGCCTCACCATATGGGTTTCTCCCTGGCTGGCCGGGGATTGAACTCATGCTGCAGAGGCTGTGGATTGCTTCATAGCGTGGTGCTTAACCCCTTGTGCCACCAGGGAGGCCCTGGAATCTCATTCTTACTTAAAGGTTTATAATTCCCCTCTTGTGGTGTCAGCTACTGCACTCGCAGAAAATACATACTTGCCCATTTTATCTTTGAGATTGGGCAGGAACCTGACAGACTTTCAGAAGGGTGAGTCAACTAGTAATTATTAAGTGCTTACATCAGCATTTAATAACAGGGTACCATGCAAAAAATCACTAAAAAGCAAAATAAGAGAGGTTATATTTATTAGCATAGGAGAGAGTCATAATTTTGAAAGGCTTTAATCTCACCATGGGACTTTTCACCTTAATAATATTGTGTCTTAAATGACTTGTCAGACAC